CGTAAGTTCTGCAGAGCTCTAGAACATGCCTTCCAAAGCAGCAAAAGCTTTCAGTATTTTAATCACAACTTTTTAGACTGAATTCAAAAATTTCTCAAAGCAATAACACACAACTAGATCAACTAAAATCAAGATAATTCAAATGCTTTAAAACACAAAAGACTCAACTTTTTATTCCCAACTTTATCACAAGGACTAGTATCAGCATTTATTGAAGCAATTAAAGAAAATCATCAGCTGAAAGGACATCTTGGGCCAAATTTTCAGTAAGACAGTTTACCTTCTGCGGCCATCAATCGTAGAAGTATCTCAATCATTTCCCCTTTTTCAGATATTGATCTACTCCCCAAAACAGGGTAAGAAAATTAACATAATAATGGTGATTATCTCCTTTATACTTCCAAAGAACACATCCATGAAGCAAGTACACAGTATTCACCACTACATAAGCTGTTTTCCTAACACTACCTTGCCAGAAATGAAGACAGTTGAGGATAGAACTGTATTCTACTTTCTTAACAGCAGAAATCGTAACAGATATTCTTTTGTTTATCTTTTTAGGAAGGATTGGTAGTTTTTTCCTTTTTTTTTTTTTCTCCCAAAGGGAGTTACATTTTGGAGAATACTGAGATAAAAGTCAAAGTGCTTCTCAGATCACGAGATTATTTCCTTAAATGGAAAACAAATCTCTAGTTCAGTTGCATGAGCTCCATAATTCATTTTGAAGATTTGGATTCCTGAAACTGCTGGAATGTTGAAGTTTACCAAATTTTCAAGTCTCTCAGCCAAGTAGCACTTTAACCAATCTTATCTCCAGGAATCAGAACTGCTCTCTTTGTAAAAGTTCAAGACTAAATAAAAGCCAAGTATGTTTTCTTGACCCCACACAAGAAAGATTAGCTCTCCGTATTATCTCTGATTACAGACAGAGCAGTTCAGAAGGTTTACAATCCTCTGTTATATACTAGGTTCTTGTTGATCACAAGTACAATTTCTTCAAATCAGTCATAGCACAATAAATGAGTTAGCATCCTGAAGCTCATCAGAAGTAACTTCTCCAAAACAACTCTGCATAACTAAATAATTTCAGCAGACATTAGAAGATAGAGTGTCATCCCAAGGATCTCAATCTGAGTCTCCAAAGACCAAGATAAACCCAACTGACTATTCAGTTGCTCTATCCAAATGACTGGCTGTTGTTGCACACTAGTATCTGTGCAAGAGGGGCCATATCAAGTGATCTGTATCTTCTTGAAATACACTATCAAAGCAGACCATATTTCTGTATTACTTTGAGAGAGAGAGATAGTATGAGATCACACAGTAGATTCTAAAAAGACCCAAAAGTTACAGCGCCGTTTGACAGACTGCCCTATCATCTTCTACATTTGTCCCTAACTTCTAATACTTTCACCAAACTCACAGAAGTAATATCAGCAATCACAGACTTTTGATGTAAATCCAACTGGCAGCTGTTCTCAAATTGGAGGCTCTCTACGCAACTACCATCTTGAAATCTGTATGTCCTATCTCTTCATAACATCAAACTTTTAAAAAATTGTACAAAAAGCAGTTTTATAACCGTGAAGAAATAAAAGCTAAGTTTAAAGCTCTAGTGTAATTTAATCCTATTTTCAGAGATATTTTTGTTAGTGATTGGTAATCCAAGAATTTATTTTAATTTTTTTTCAGAAACAGCTGGATGATAATCTCTGCTCTATTACAAGTTACAAGCTCAGGTACAGAAATAAGTTTCTATGAGGTCAAAATTTATATCACAAAAAGTGATTTGGAGAGTGCTCCCAGCTGACAGCCACCACAAGGTAATCGGCACAGGCTGAGTCTTCCTCCAATGCCATTAAAAGGCATTTGCTTTTGGTGAAATCAGCTCAAATCAAGTCCGACCTGCTACAGCTTAGGACCATGCATGGGGACAATTACTAGGGATCAGAGGAGCAATAGGTTACTACTTTATACTAGTTTACTAGTTCCCATCTCTTTCCTGTCTTATGAATTAAATAATTCTCTTTTCCGCTTTTCAGCCTGTTGACTGTTCACAAACAATCTATATTACCACACATACTGCTGAATTACTATATATATTTTTGAATAAATACAACAGTCTTTGCTAGTCAACTGTTCCATAGTATTAAAAATGAAAGTTGTAAATTCCAGATGAACTTGTGAAATACGGAAGTCACTTAAAAATAATAAATCAGTTCCACACAGAAAATCAATCCATCATAACGAGGAAAAAAAAAAATCCTCATTTGGTTTTCAAAACCACAAAAACCATATGATGAACATTTCCTGACAATGGATTGAGATAAATTTAAGAATTTTTTCTGTATAACCCAATCTAATAAAATTTAGCTAGTTCTGCTATTCTCTAGGAGAAAAAAAAAAAAAAAAACACTCTGGAATTCAGTCCATCCACTCCCAGGAAATAACATACCCTGGAAGGATGAAAGAGGGTGGTTTCATCATGAGAAGACTACCAAGTGGTGTACGGAGAAGCGCAGCACTTTCCATCCTATTGCAATGGAATTCATTGCCTTCCTTACTCCTTGATACCAATTACAAATTCCATGCAGTAATTTTCAACCAAATTTCAACCACAGAGGACTATATTTTATTAAAATTATATTAAAAGCCAGCATGACTAGACCATGACTTATACAGGTCTTTATTTGTATGCCATCTTCACGGCATACTACTTGAAGGTTGCACAAGTTCTCAAGATGCAAAATTTATAATAAGAAATAAATAAAAACATTTGGAAGTAACATCTATATGAATGCTCAGCCTTTTCATAAGATCCTAGTTGTTTCTGAAAAAAAAAAAAAAAAAAAAAAAAAAACACACACAACGACAAACCAATTATCATAACTGTTTACTAGCTACAGAAATGGTTAGCTAGCATGCACCACTGTAGTAACCAAACTTCTTTTAAGGACCAGTTCTCCTTGGTATCACCTGAAAATATGTGTAATATTTTATATACATGATGTTAAACTAAAATCTGATTGTACATTTTGCAAAATGGTAATGCATTTTAAGACGCTTTTAAAGACTGGTTAACTTGAATGCTTTCATATGAACTTACCATTTCCTAAAATCTGGACCTCATTATTTTAAAATATAAAATTTCATTACAGATTAGTTTTGTTTTCTGTTAGCAAATTTAAAATTAATGACCGCTTGCCAACTATATTATTTATTGTTTTTTAAATTTAAAATTCAAAATACTGTGT